GGGTGGTAGCCCCAGTGCAAGGGTTGATCGAAATTCTTCCCAGAGTTCTTCTTTACAGTATAATGTGAACCCAAATATCAAAAAGCTGATATTTCACTTAAAATATAACTAAACCCAAATATTAAAATTATAATTTTTTCTAATGTTTTTTTAAAAAAAATTAAAAACTTGTATTCCCCCGTGGCTCTTGAGTCGAAGGTAGGGATGGTCATGGTGGTAGGGACGTGGCCCTTCTGAAGACTGGGCAGAACTGGTGGGAATCAAGCTTAGTAGCTGGCCCGCTCTCCATCGGCACGTCAGCTTGTACTGCAGGTCTTAGGGTGACAACGTTGAGGCTGCATTGACCTGCACCATGGCAGCGCTGTCACCGTAGGAGTGGATTTTGCCGATGCAGAACCCGGAGGAGACAGCTGTTTACCGATGATGTCATAGACAGATGGCGGATGACAGCAGGACAACGCAGGATTTGCTGGGCGGGTGAGGTTGTTTAGTGGGAATCCAGTATGACGGGTAAGAGGGGTAACAAGTGGGGGGATTGGAGAGGTTCTTCTTATTTTATATTCTATAAAACATCCAATACTGGATCAACGACAGCCAATCAGAAATGACCAATGACCCCAGAATCAGAGCAACCGCAGACATTGCCCCTGCTTCCCAGTACAGATCAAGGACATACGTGTCTCATACATGCAGTGCATACAGGTACCCTGTACAGGCACAATGTGCACACGTATTGTATCACACCCGCATGTGTCACCTGTCACCTCCATACACAAGCATGCAATGTATGGAGAGTGAGTATAGGAGACCTGTCCCTGTGTATACAAAGCAAATTCCCATCCGCCATGGTGCCATCTGTACCCCTCCTAACTCCTCATACAGGACCGGTGAACCTTTGCCTTCCATACACACACCGGCTGGATACACCTCTGTCCTATATGTGCCTTCCAAACTGCCCCGCCCTTCACATGCAAACAGAGAGCCAACGGACACCTAATAATTAGGTAAACCTGCGTTCCATAGTTCAGCCATAAAGGGCAATTCTGACCACGGCAACAAAGAAGGGATCGCCGGTCCCTATATACAGAGACAGGACAGTGGGATATACGCATTGTGAATCCACCTGATCCCTTCACAAAGACATACAGAACAGTCATTATGCACCCATCAGTCCCATATACATACAGGACAGATACACCTGTATTCTTTACATTGTATCCCCTCCTATACAGATACACCTGTACCCATTCTATACATTGTATCCCCTCCTATACAGACACACCTGTACCCATTCTATACATTGTATCCCCTCCTATACAGATACACCTGTACCCATTCTATACATTGTATCCCCTCCTATACAGATACACCTGTACCCATTCTATACATTGTACCCCCTCCTATACGGACACACCTGTACCCATTCTATACATTGTACCCCCTCCTATACAGATACACCTGTACCCATTCTATACATCGTATCCTCTCCTATACAGATACACCTGTACTCATTCTATACAATGTATCCTCTCCTATATAGATACACCTGTACACATTCTATACATTGTATCCCCTCCTATACAGATACACCTGTACTCTTTCTATACATCGTATCCTCTCCTATACAGATACACCTGCACCAATTCTATACATCGTATCCCCTCCTATACAGATACACCTGTACCCATTCTATACATCGTATCCCCTCCTATACGGATACACCTGTACACATTCTATACATTGTATCCCCTCCTATACAGATACACCTGTATCCATTCCATACATCGTATCCCCTCCTATACAGATACACCTGTACCCATTCTATACAACGTACCCCCTCCTATACAGATACACCTGTACCCATTCTATGCATCGTATCCTCTCCTATACCTGTACCCATTCTATACAATGTACCCCCTCCTATACAGAAACACCTGTACTCATCCCACAATCAATGCATCCTTCTTCTCTTCCACCTGTGGCCCCTCACCTGCTGCTCCGGCTCTTCGGGCTCCAGCTCGCCCACATAATACTGCTCCAGCCAGCGCAGGGCATTGTCCGAGTGCCGGTGCGGGGGTCCGTCCAGGTCCCCCTGAATATCTGTCCCAGCCCGAGCTAGCAGCAGGCTCTCCCCTCCCGGGTGCAGCCGGACGAAGGAAGACACATCGTACACCTTCCTGCCCCGGAGGAGCCAGCAGGCACCCGAGGAGCACTGGTTCCGGAGCTCGGCGGCTGTCACCCGGCGTCCTGCCATATGGATAGCGGAGTATCCGAGCTGCGGAGAGCCGGCGAAGTGTCACTGAGCTGCCTCATCTGCATACTCATTACGTATTCAGCCCGGCCCCGCCCACCGCACACAGTCCCGTCCGCTGTACTACACAGCGGAGCGCCCCGGGTCAACAATGCCCCCTAGAGGACACAGCGCTAACTACAGCTCTGATTTCGAGGAACAGCATGTAGTGTAGGTAAGAACAAAACCACTTTGACTTGTAAATGTAAGAAATCCCCCCCAAAAATTACTTGTATAGGTAAGGCCAACACTTTTTTTCAACTTATTTGGGTAAAATCCTGCATCTCTGACCACTGAGCTGACATTTCATTCCAGAGAGTAGACAGTGACCCTGGATGATGTCTAAATCAGTGGTTCTGAACCTGTGTAACCTCAGGACCCACATTTGTCCTCTATCATTAAGTCACGACCCAAGTCGCACTGCAATGGAACGCACGGCAGTGTGGGCTGCTCCGCAGTGAGGAGCTCCATCCATATGTGCATTGCTTGTACAGCTCCCATGCGTGCCCTGTAGAGGTGCCTGGAACCAGAATGTGATGTCACTCCGGTCCAGGCACCTCTACAGGACATGCAAGGGAGCTATAAGCAATGCATCTATGGATGGAGCTCCCTCGCGGCCATACCCCCAGCCCACCCAAAGTCGGCACTCAGTGAAGGGGGGGCCGCATATTTTGAATGGCTGTTCAGTGTCAGAATGGACAGCGCTGCGCTAGGGGGAGGCTGAGGAGCCTCTCACCTAGAAAAGAGGAAGGCATGCGGTGACCCACTTAACACGCGGTCGCGGCCCACCAGTTGAGAACCAAGGGTCTAAAAAAAAGGTGGTGCCGTCCTCCTGGAGAGAAAAGCAGATGAAACCATTGTCAGGGGGAGGATACGGTCAGAGGAGATAAATACCCGGGAATGTTAAGCTCACCACACACGCTACAATCTGTCTGCACAATCTTTGTACCGTCTCCTTGAAGTTTAACAATATGAGAACCAATCTAAACAATCCAATCAATTTGTATGCGATTGGGCACTATAGGTGTTGGTGGATCTAAAGAAGATCGTGCGGTGTAGGTGACACGTATGTGTCACGTAGCATGCATGCACTTAGCATGAATTCATAGGTCTGATACTGGGTCCCTTGAAGATCCAGCAGCACGTTTACACCTTCCTAATTGTGACAGGTGTGCTTTATGACCTAGATAGAGTAACATTGGTATAGGAGTGCCGAGGATGAGATATCAATATAGTTAGTTGAATTTCCATGCCAGATAAGCAGCCAATCAGGGTGGGTGGGGCACGACATCGTCACTGCCATGGCCTTGTGTTTGCGTTGACTCAGAACACCGCTGGAATGTTCCCGGGTACAAAGTTCCCAAATATTGGTGATATGTAGTCAGTTCCTGTCCTGGGACGGGACGGCTGCATGGAGGACTCCGGGCTAATAATAGACGCCACATGCACCATAGACACATAAACCTGTGACACGTATGAGTGATAGATACTGTATCATTATCAGCGCTGTGACGCTTCGGCTAATGTCATGTGATTTATTGATCGTGACCATCCCCCGCCCCACCCCGCCAATTTTTTTAAAGCAACTTCTCACGCTAATTTTCTCGCGCAGTCGCTCAGCTTGGCAGCGAGAAGATCGCCAGCGACAATCGCCCTTCATCGCTAAATGCTCCCATTAAAGGTGGAGTCTCAAGGAAGAGTGCCCATTGGGGCCAAAAAAAAAAGGCAAAGCGCCCCTCAACCAGCTCTGGGAAGCGGTCACGGTCACTGCGGATCATTTGACTCCTGCTGCCTGCGTGAATGAGATCTTAGAAACATAACTTTTGTAGGATGTACCCAGCAAGAGGGACCCCTAGTGGTTACAATGGGGTACAGCACTAAAGCTTGTACCTGTACCACTACCTATTGGGTGCTGAAATGCTGGTTGCTTGGCTGCCATGATGGCGCACTTGCCGCAATACTTTAATTTATTGACACAGAACAAATGTGAGCATCTGACGATCGTATTTTGCTTGCTATAGAAAGTGTAAGAAAGCCCATGACATGTTATACTGAGGAGCGTATACGCGGATCTCTGGAGGCCACCCGAGCCTCCCCTGCCAATGGCATGCTAAAATGATGGTCCCAGCACACTGTTAACACATTTATGCCCACCTTACGGGTTGGTCCTGCCCAGACCCATGGGCCAGGGAATATGGCGGAGAGACCTCACCTGCTCCACTGTCCAATCAGCAGGCGGGGAGGTGACACCAGTGCATTTCCTTGAGTCTAAAGAAGGGAATGGTGTCACCCTCCCGATTACAATGCCTGGCAGAGGCTTACGAATCACAAAATTGGCAAATCCGTTGCCAGGTTCCGGAGTCCAGCCACTTGCACGGACTTGTAGTTCCCCCCACGGCCGGAGCCGCGCAGCCCCCATGTTTGCCGCCGTTGTCTCCGCAGCGTTTTGAATTCCGCAGACTTCCCCAGGAGGGAGAGACGGAGTGGGAGAGACACACAGACCAATGTTGTTACAGGACAATCAGAGAGTGTGCTGCAAGTCACAGCTGGTTCTCCTCCACTGGGGAGGGGGGCCATTGTCCCGATCTGGTGACTGTCCCCAAACAGTAGCCGGGCCCCCTCCGTACAGAGGCTCCAACAAGGGCCCCATTCATGGCACGGATTGTGGGCCCTCACCCTTCCCTTACTGGACGGAAAGAAAGCAATCACAGTGCCCACATCAAGGGCCGAAATGAATCACGCCCATATAATCCGGGCACCTGGCAGCCATGAAACATCAAATCTGACCTTTGCGGGCCGGCCCGAGGAAGAACTCCGACCCAAACCTAACCTGAAATTATTCTACAATGGGGACGTGTTTAAAGTAGATGTGAACCCCAAGTGGATGACATTCACTTTGCTGAGCCTTCTCTGTGCTGCTGATCTCCTGCATTCTCTTTGTGGCCACTTCCTGTCTGCATGCACTCCAACAACAGCTGCATGGCATTTCTCAGATTTACCACAGGTGACAACAATGGGCCATGCCTGATTATTATGTGTTTAAATGGCCACTTGTCGTCTTTATCGTAAGCTTTTAAGGCACGGTGACAACACAGGAGCATAATTGGGAGACAGGAAGAGAGAGTTGTCACTCCCTAACAGGAAGTGCATGAACAAGAGCCTTCCTGGCAGGGTGATAATGCAGAAGCTCAATTGGGAGACAGGGAGAGAGAGCTGTCACCCTGTAACAGGAAGTAACTGAACATGGGCCTTCCTGGTAGGGTGATAATGAAGGAGCACAATTGGGGGACAGGGACAGAGTGTTGTCACCCTGTTACAGGAAGTGCATTGAATACTTTATTGCAGCACGTTTCCTTTCCATTCACGATTTTTAATTATTTATTAATTATTTACATGCAACGTGGCTTTGAGCTCTACTGCTCCAGGAAGAGTCAATTCCCTAGCACAGCCCAAAACTTCCTTACATACCACAGCCCTCTCCTCTTCTGGGAGTCTCTAATTACTGTCTGTGCAGGCCCAGCTCCTCTGCCCTGCCCCTCACCTCCCTATATAACCTTTTATGTATCGGCTGGGGGAGGAGTAAAGGGGAATAGTATAGAGCGTCACTTGAGTGACAGCTGGGAGTCTGCTGGGGCTGCTGACATCACATCCAAGATGGCGACACCCTGCAGAAGTCTCTGGGATTTTGGCGGCTTTTACAAGCAAATAACATGCCTGAAATATGTTAGATGCACGTGTCATCCTGTGGGAGGAGCTTCATGGGGACGTATGGTGTCACGGGGTCCCTTGAAGATAGAGAGGGAGTGAGAGAGAGGGAGAGAGTGAGAGAGGGGGGGGAGAGAGGGAGAAAGAGAGAGAGGGAGAGAGAGGAGGGGGGGAGAGAGAGAGGGGGGATGAGAGAGAGGGGGGGATGAGAGAGAGAGGGGGGAGATAGAGAAAGGGAGGAAGGAGAGAGAGGGGGGATGGAGAAAGAGAGGAGGGAGAGAGAGAAAGAGGGAGAAAGAGAGGAGAGAGAGAGAGAAAGAGAGGAGGGAGAGAGAGGAGGGTGGGAGAGAGGGAGTGAGTGAGAGAGGAGGGAGAAAGAGAAGAGGGAGAAAGAGAGGGAAGTGGGAGAGAGAGGGGAGGGGAGAGAGATAGAGAGGAGGGAGAGAGAGATAGAGGGGAGAGAGATAGAGAGGAGGGAGGAAGGGAGAAGGAGGGGGAGAGAGAGAGAGGGGAGAAGGAGGGGAGAGGTAGAGAAAGAAGGAGGGGGAGAGAGAGAGAGAGGGAGGAAGGGAGAGATAGAGAGAGAGTTACAGTGCTTATCTCATTCTCCTTTCAGATACTCTGTCTCTGATTGAAACCTCAGTTACAGCTGTATGGAGGAAGGGGGAGCAGGGGAGGAGTCATTATTCTGATCCATAGTCTTGTGTGTGTAAATGTCAGCTTGAGCTACTGAGCTCTATTCAAAAATAGCTGACTTAGGCTTAGAATAACCTGTAAATTAAGAGAAGAGGAAACCAAGACTTCCACTTGCTGGCTGCACTTCAAAATACAAAGGGGGGGAATTAATCAAAACTGGAGCAGAGAGAATCTGGAGCAGTTGTCCATAGTAACCAATCAGCTTCTTTCTTCAGTTTGTTCAGTTAAGCTTTGGAAATGAAAGATAGAAGCAGTTTGGTTGCCGTGCACATCTGCTCCAGATTCTCTCTGCTCCAGTTTTAAATAAATCCCCTCAAAATATTGTAATGATCATTTATAATGAAAAAAAAATATTTACAATATTCAAGAACCACCGTACATTTTATTAAATTTATAACAATAAATAATATAAATTATTAAATATTAATAAAATAAAATATTGCAATATTTATTTCATATTAACAAACATATGTAGAGTATACAAAAAATATACAGTACATTTTATTATAACAATAACATTTTATATATATACATACATACAGTATCTCATAGAAGTGAGTACACCCCTCACATTTCTGTAAATATTTTATGATATAATTAGCCAACC